TCAAGCAAGCAGACTGGAGATAACAGTGAAGACATAGCTAATTCTAAAGTGGTTAACGATATCATCTGTTTTGGCTTTTGTGATTGGTTTTCCGAATAAAGATAAAAAATCAACATAACTTTTTCGATAGCGCATGCTTGGCTCATATTAAATGGCCAATGTCCTGAATTGCGAGGTCGAGCAATGTAGGACTTACTCAAAGGAAACACTAGGACAACTGCAGCATATGTAGCAAGAAGGGTATACGCCGCGGTTAAGCATTCTTTTAATGGAATGGCTCGAGCAAGAACCTCTCCTGTCGCTCAAGAAGCTCCTCTAACAAACCAGAGATTAAGAGCACATCAAGAGAATGAAGCTGTTCCTTTACAGGTAAAATATGTATTGTTGAAAGATAGAAACTAGTTACCCGCGCAGACCAGAGAACGCGGGTCATAAAATAAAAAGTAAAACTAACATTGATGTTTAATCCAAGAAGTCTTATTGCTGACTTCGAGTCTATTTTAATATTATTTACTTGCAAGTGCATGGAAATTTTGTAAACAAGCGTTATATTTATCAGCAAACGAGAGAAAGAATCGTGTACAACGTGTATAACAATCAGTATTAAAATGCCTACGCATTTTTTTAAAGACTCTTCAGCGCAGCGATAAAGAAGATATATCTCGCAAAAATACACCAGCCCTGTATCAAGAAAATGTTCACAATTTCCTCATAGACATGGCTGAGATACTGTTCATATCGCTCCAACAGACGAAATATCTACTACCCGTTGCGATTGATATTAGATGAAGTTGTTGGTCGGTCGGTAGTGCGCTGTGAAAGATTGGGATTTGATTGTATTTCATAATGCTCTTGAAACTCTGATATGTTTTGAACCTTTTAAGAGTGTTATTACTTTCCCCGAAGGCAGGTTTTTGTTTTCATTCAAATTTAAATCGAGACATAAAACCGTCAAGTCAGAAAAATTTATGTATACTGATATTTAAACACATTTTCTAAGACATAAAGTTTTAACAAATTGCGATCAATTTCAGTGGAGAGAAACTTTCACTTAGCAAAGGTTTCATAGACATAATGCGTGGGAAATTGATTTTCGTCTCATGATCACATGAAATAAATTGACACATAGGTAAAACATTTTATATCTGTGAAAAAAAAATTAAATATTAAACTTCTTGTAGGGATATCGATTTTTCAGGTCCCCTATTGGTATGAAAAAAATATCTGCCTGACATGAAATGTATTTTATCCTTGCCTGTTTTCATAAAAAATTTCTTTCATCGTTATACCGAATAAATATTATTTTTTTCGCCTCTAAATACAAATGGATTTGCACCTTTTGAGCACTTGCAGACAAGAAAAAAACGGAAATTGAGTATATGTCAGTGTAATACGCTTACGACCATTAAAGTGGCTTTTATCTTTGTAAATTAACCAATGAAAATAAAGAGCAGGGCTAAATTGAGGCTTCCCAGCTGTTTTGCTTTTCAAATCCTACTTTACTTTTTCCTCCTGGAGATAATTTCTTTAATTATTCACAGAATTCTGGCTAAAAGCATTCGCTTATTGTTGTGAGAGGAAAAAGAAATAAGGAAAATTTATTTTCGTGGCCCAGATAGAAAGCAGTTTTACGGGACAAAAGTGAAGAAAGCAAATTCGCGTTTTGCAGGTGAGATGCCAATTGGCGGTATAATTTTTGCTCGCCATCAAAATTCGCCTTAATTTTTAAACCGGAGTACCATTGTCTACTGGTTTTCAAAGAATATCCAATTTCGAATATTAAGTTAATGGTAAACAAAAGAACTCACAAAGCCGAGTTCTGAATGGAATAAAGCAAGACCCACTTTGCAATGTAAGCAAGTCCATAAGTGCTTAGTTGAAAGACCGACAGTTCGATTTGTGTGAAGCCATTGGTCAACAGTCTCAATGTATATTCAATTAATGCACATATTGAGCAGTCTGGCTATATTGACTGGGTTGCACAAATGTAAGTATTTGTCATCTGTATGCCGCAGCTGTCACTGACTTTTTCGAGGTTTTAATTTTTTTCACTTAATTCTATATCAGGCCTCATCGAGCGAGAGCCAAATATTTGACGACCTGGAGCCGGATTGTGAAGCGAGCGACCAAGATCGAGTGATTGGAATTATGGGGGATACCGCGAAGCGATTTTCGTCGCTTCTAACAGTGATTTGCCGCACGGCTAAAAGGTCAGCGAACAAGATGGCAAAAATACGAAAGAAAAAAAGTGGTGGAGAAGAAATCAACAAATTGTCCACGACAAGTGAGGATGTTGGAAGTCCTTGTAAGGCTCGTTCGACTAACAAACCGGGAACAAGCGAGGACGAAAAAGGTAACATTATTTTCCATAGCTAGTCTGAATTCCTTGAAATTATATCCTCCTGTTACGGTTTGAACGGATGCATAATTCCTTGTAATGAAATCCTCTTGTTACGGTTTGAGCGGATGTATAAAATGCTAAAATGTTCTGCTGGAAAAATGCCTTTAAGTCAGTAGAAATGTTGAAACATTGTGAGTAGCGAATAATACAGAGAGATATATTTTGAATCGTGGGAAAAAAAGGTAAAAGTTTAAAGCTCCAAATGTATTTTTTTTTTATTATTCCACCATTCTTATGGTCCTCAACAGGAAGATCTGTAGCATCTCCGCGGAGCCCTGAATTGCTAAAATTATTTGCTCGCGCGAAATTTTCCGACCTCAAAACAAGCTCACGGTAGATTTTAATACTTTTTTTAACACCACTTCCACAGTTGAACAACACTTTAATGAGACTTATGAACTCCATCATCTCCTCGGTCAAGGTGGATTTGCAGTTGTGTACTCCGGAACTAGAGTACGTGATAATCTACCAGTAAGTAAAAGTCTTTTCTTTCTTTTTTCCTTATCAATCCATTGTTAATTTCAAATTTTATGCCTACATCAAGTTTTATCGCAACCAAGGTTTATTGCTAAAACCGCAAGAACTCTCTTAGGCACATACAAGACTCATTTGATAAATTATTCTGGAAAGATTCTGCAGAATTATTTCGAGGCGATCGGACTATCGAAGCAAATGTTTCATTGATCTGAAATTTATCCTTAGATTGATTCTAACAGATTCTTTGCCGACTCTATTCACATCTCAAAAATGTTTTCTGTGATTTTTGAACTTTTCGTTCTCGAAAACAAACAGAACACAAGTGAAACCAATCGAAAGACAGTAGCTCAGTACGCATTTCCTAATATTTCATAAAGATAGCGATCAGATCAAAAAACCCAGACTGGGGTTCGCAAGGGTGGAGAGGACTTCTCGCAAAAAGCAGCACTCGCCACACTTAAAACCAAAGAAGACTTTCGCCTTTTATTGACGTCAAATGTGAATGGATTCCATAAAAGAGTGGCAACTTTTCTCAGCGGCGTGTTAGCTGCCGATCAAATTTGGCGAGTGAGACTGAATGAAATCTGAAACTGAATCAGTTTGAAGATTCCAGTTGTTGACCATTTTCTTGCTGCTATGTATTTCATTGCTTTGAATTGAATAACATCGGGACCATGCAAATGGAGCATTTCTTGCCGAAAACACGTTTTTATATTTCTTAGTTCGATTTTCGGGAAATTTACCTGCAAGTTAAAAGCGAAGGCTAACCTATCTTATCAGTCAATGTTTCATCGGAACAGGATCATTTTTTTTTACCCAAAACAAACGCACCGGAAAAAACGAAAATATTTGTAGAAATGTTTTGTAGCCGCATCAGCACCTGTCTGAAAAATAAAATTGAGGTGACTCAATCTCTTATGTGTTTGCTTTCGATCGAGAAGTAGTATGAATTTCATGAATAAGGTACCGATACGAGACATATTTGTTCCAGCTATGGGGCAAGATAAGGTAAATAGACTTCCTATGTTGCTGCCGGTCAATACAACAATAATTTTATGCCTTTTATCAACCCCCTTAGGCGGTAATAACACCGGATTCTGTAAGAAATACGAGGACATTTTAAAATGAAGGCTTCTGCTTAATAATTTGCAAAAAAGCTATTGCACTTATTGAATCTTAGACCTCAAACAGTTTTAGAAATCCAAATCAAGGTTTTGATTCCATGTTTCTAAAAGAGTCAATTTCACACCGACTCAGATTTTAATAAATATATGTATTACTTCTGCTAAAAAGAAATGGATCCTGGTGTGAAGTTCATTCTAATCATATTAGAGCTTCTTAAAATGTTTTTTTTTCTGCAAAATCTCCAATGGAGGATAATTTTACTTTATAATGGCTACCCTGAACTTTTGTACGGACAATTACACTTAAAATTCAGCACTGAGTTTTCTTCGAATTTAAAACTCTGACAGGCACTCAGCTGGGAGCTCAAGGATAAGAAAACGTTTACTAGAATTTAAAATGCATTGGCTTTCAAAAACATTACAAAATTTACCATTCAGGCTTTGCAGAGGTTTTGAAGTTCCCAAAAAAATAAATGCCTTAAGCTCATCATTTTCATTAATCAATAAAGGTTGCTGTCAAGGTCATTCCCAAGAGCAACGTGTACTCGTTTGAGGAGGTAAGAATAAACTACAAATCCTGTTTACAGTAATTAAAGTACCGGATTGACTCTCCTTTGTCAAACGTTCCCGGCTGAAGCAATTACCTAAAATCCCACGATTTGTTGGTGTGCAGCCCGTCAATAGTATTCGATGGTATTTTTTTAGATATATCGCCCCAAAAGAGTAAAAATTATTGGTTGCTCGTGTTGACACCTTTACTCCTTACTGTGACAAAAGGAGAATTTACAAAAACGTCAATTTTCTTTGGCAAAATTCTAAGAAGTAAATTGTACTATGCAATAGTTCTATCGAAGGAATTTCATTTGAATGGTAATACCATATGATTTAAAAGAAAAAATGACATACCATCTGGAAAACTGGAAGACAAAAATTGCACCATCGTATCAGTGTGCATGGTAATATGGGTAACTGGCCGCCAATGGCGTAGCGCGCGAATGACGTCAAAATGACTAATTTGCAATTTTTGTTTGAGTTTTGTCATTTTTCTCATTTTAATGACAAAAGACAGACAAACATGACATTTTGATAAGAAAAGTCAGACAAAAGTAAGGAATTTGTTAATGTTAATTCCAGTTTATTTGTCTGAGTTTCGGGTCTATAAATATTAACTGCGCACAGCGCTATTCTTCGATGCTCTTATCTGTCACTCTAAGTTACAATATAGGTGGTTTTCACGTTACGTCATCGCCACCATGCTGGTGGACGGTAAACAAAAGATCGCTCATTAGCTCGCTTTGTTTGTCCACCAGCATTTGTTCATTTCACCATTGTTATTTATATCTCCCGAGATTTTACGAAAACCACCTATTGGGCTGGCTGTGGAAAACCAGTCATAAAATGTATATTTTCTGTTTTGAGTCAGAAAATGCAAGACTTTGCCCAAAAAAGTTGAGTCAAGTTTACTTTCATGTGACCTGCCTGTTGTGACTAAATCTGGCTTACCTTGTCCAGGAAAATGATGTCACAATCCCGACGGAAGTCTACCTTCATCGTTTTCTTGACCATCCAAACGTCATTAAACTGTATGACTTCTTTGAGCATGCGCAGGCTTACGTCATGGTGCTAGAGAGACCGCTGTACCACAGAGACCTGTTTGATTACATCACAGAAAAGAGGCGATTAAATGAGAACGAAGCAAGAAGTATTTTTCTTCAAATTATCGAGGCGGTGATGTACTGCGAGTCTAAGGGGATATTTCATCGTGACATCAAAGACGAGAATATCTTGCTAGATACTAGAACTGGCCAAGTCAAGTTACTGGATTTTGGCTCTGGTACTGTTCTAGAGAATACACTATATACAGATTACGAAGGTAAGAAACCATACAAACTAGTGGGGAATTCTCTATGAGCATCTTTCAGAAATTTGCCTGTCATAGATCTGGCGCTTTTACTTCAGGAAAAAAAACCGTAGAAAAATTTGTGGGAAAATTACAAACAGGACAGGGTAAGTTCTAGTCTCCCTCGCAGCCGTTTTTTGGATGTCACGTAACGCTCCCCCAAAAGAGGGGAGGTTGGGGGGGTGGCGTTGCGTGACATCCAAAAAACGGCTGCGAGGGAGACCAGGTAAGTTCTAGCTTTAGAAACTAAAGTGTACAACTCATAAACTTTTCACTGGGATATTTATACTAACAATGAAATTTGACAAAACTGATGTAGTCCACAAAGTGGAACAAACAGGTCACTGTTTCGGCTGTAGACGGTTACAGACGGCAACCAATCCACTCAAATTATCCATTAAACTCACCTCAGACCTTATTTTCACTTGCAAATGTTTCCTCCAGGAACGCGAGCGTACTGTCCGCCAGAGTGGTTTCGTTTCCATCGTTACTATGGCAAGCCCGCCACTGTATGGTCACTTGGTATACTGCTGCATAATATGGTCATGGGAGATGTGCCTTTTTCAAACGAGGTGGAGATAGTGCGCGCAGAGTTGAATTTCTCCGATGACGTCAGCAAAGGTGGGTTATTTGCCAACCACGTGTTCAGGTTCTTCCCCCTTCTTTCCTCGGAAATTAAAGGGGAAAAGTGAGGACCCCTAGAAGTAGAGCAGGGGGTGGTGGAATCGTGTTATCTACTTCTCGATGGTTATTTACCACTGACAAAATTTCCGGAAATTGTAGTGGAAACCTAAGTGGAAGACTACTTTTAAGGTCATTTCAGTGAAAAGGTTCCACAGGCAACGATGGGTCTAAAGGGGTAGTCTTATTTTCCCTTATTTTTACGGAAGTTCGTGTCCCATTCCGAGCAAAGGTGGCACAGTTGGTTAGTGCTTGGCCTTCGGTGCGAGGGGTCCCGAGTTCGATCCCCGGTGACATCACATCCTTGTTTCAACTTCTCTCCTTTCTGTGTAGCTTTAACTAGCTTTAAATACCCTTAAAACGGAACATTGATGGAGAGAGGGCGGGGGGAGCGCACCGTCGACCTCAACTTTATCAGTTATTACTGTCACGAGGTTATAGAAGTAAAATATGCAGGTTGCTTTACCTTCACCATAACCCTTACTTCTTCAAACCTAATCTTTGATACCAGTTTCTGGCCTTTCAGGCCATTTTTCTGAAATGAGAGTGCTAATAATCCTTTTCTGGCACTTGACTTCCTTCTTTGCTCGGGTAGCTAGTATCTACTTAGTTCTCTTACACTTTGCAAGTTTTTATGCGATGCCCTTAAACCATGTATCCCTCAGGCTCAGTAACTCAACAGATTATCTGTTTCTTTTTCTTTAGACTTGCAAGATATTATGCGATGTCTGCTAGCTAAGCACCCCTCCTACAGACCAACTCTAGAAGAAGTTGTTCAGCATCCCTGGCTTCAGCATCATAAACACAAATCTCGATCCTACCCTGACAGGAGAGCTTGTCAAAGCGCTCCTGTCCCGGTAGATCCTATTGTAGACAGACGAGAGAGACGCCAGAGGCAAGGGAATTCGGTTTTATGAGACGGAAGGGAAGAAATGAAATTATTCCCAAGAATTATTCCTCAAGAATTATATCTGCTCTGAAGAGGCTGTCGTCTGGTTGACAGCTGTCGTAATTGCGTGTGTGATCCAGACGTTTGAAAGAACTTAGTCATGCACGTGCATGAGCCAGGTAAATGCGTGATATCTGGTCATTAACGTTAAAAATTTCACGTGCCGCATGAGTGCCACGAAGTTAAAACATGATCCATCTCGTGGATGTTGCAGATGTCGTGGTACGGATGTCCGTGCGTTTACAGTAAACCTAATGGAACTATCCTTCGCATGCAAGATGTAAACGTCGTTTGAAAAAGACGTACTTTGCACTTACCGTGCAAAATAACAATCTTTATGTTAGTCGGTGAAGACTGAGAGGTACAGAAAAGAACCCAACGTGGCTGACTTAACGTACAGAAAGCCTTCTTTGCGGCTGGAAAGCAGTTGACTACCGTACAGTTGCACTGAGCTCTGTTTCCCTGGGATAATTGAAACAAATTCTTAAATTCGGAACAAAGAAGAAGAGAAGCATAAAAATCGCACTTTTCTGATACTTTTTGCGTAGCGGAGCTCGAGCTTTGGATTACCTAATTCTTAATAACGAGAGACGATTGCTCGATATTGCAGCCGCTAGAACAATACTTCATGAGAAGGAAATAGAAGGAGATATACATTCTGCACACCAGAGACTCGAGTCGACTTTTCTCGTGAAAGGAGATGTAAATAGCTTCTTTCCCTTTCTTTCCTATGGTCATTCTTTTCGACCCTTTTAAGAACCTATTCTAACAAAAAACAGACAAATAGAGTACGAAAAAAAAGAAATGAAACTTAGGACATGAAGGATGGAGGTGTATATCGATAACTAATTTAATTAACTATCAGGAATCTGTAATAAAATCTTGTTAATAATATTTGCACTTTTTTCTTGCACTTTTTATATCGTCACACCATGTTTGTTATGGTAATGACTAATAAAATGATAGTGGATGTGATGATGACGACGATGATGGATCATCATCATCATCATCATCATCATCATCATCATATCACATTGTTGGTGATGATAGTGGTTATAACGACAACAATAATGATGACAGTGAAAATAATGACGATCATGATTGTAACGATAGTGATAACGATGATGATGACAATTAGCAGTTATTGGATTAGACTTTTGTATGTTATGAAGAATCATGTCTATATTTAGTCTAGAGAAAGAATTTTACTACTCATTTGAAGAGAAAAGAAAAAACGATACGCCAAGGAACTCGTTTAAGAAAAAATGAAGATTTAATTCTTTTGGGATTCCAGCCTAAAGGCAAAGCCACCATACTTAAAACTGCGCGCGCTATTCACACGCGAAATTATGCGCAGTAGAGAAGCACAATGCAAGACTAAGGAGTAACCTTAACATACGCTTACCTGTATGTAACGTTTCCGTCTTCAAAACACTTACCTGTTTCTCGGCAGTTTCAGGATATGAAGAAGTGTACATTCTAATAGCTATTCTTCATGCAGCAGTTGTCATCTGTGAAGAATTGTCACCACTCAAAAATTCAATTTACTATAAAGCCGTTACAGGTCTAAACTCAACCGAGCCCAAAATGGGTCCGGCCGCATATAACAACAGTTCTCTATAAAGAAAAACGTCGAGTAGGCGGTCTTTTTCGCTGACTCAAGAAGCGCTGTCTCTAACGGACTGCCCCCTGAGACACGTATGAGGAAATGGAAGCGGAAATGAGAAAGAAAATCATGACTTTAATGATCGACCAAAAGTTTACAAAAAATATGTAATCTTCACTTAAGGTATTAGGTGTCATACGGAACCTAGCTCGTGTACAAGTTTTACAAAATTATCTACGAGTTTATGCGTTCCCAGTGTACGTTTAGCAAAGAAGTGGATAGAAAAGGTCAGCTCTGATATGTAGAGGAACTACTTCACAGAAACAACTTTGTAGACAATTTGATGTTTTAAATTCCAAGTAATTGTACCTGAACAGCAAGACGGGAGCGATACGACCAACAGAGACTAAGGTTGAATTCGATTGGCCGCAGTAAGGAATTAAGGTCTACAATAAAAAAAAAAGGACTTCTTCATCCCCTTTCCACTTTAATTTTGGAGTTGCTTAAACGTTACTTTTTTAAATCTAAACACTCTATATCCGGCACGGTAGAAAATTTAAGTGTCTACGAAAAGTGAAATTGAAGAAGTAAAACATTTACTCAAGGCACATCCTAATAGAGTACTAAAGTGTGACGTCATAAAAATGAAATTTCTGAAATTATGGGATTTGTCAGGATATTCTGAAAGAACAATGTCCAAGAGGCCTACTTGCCAAAAATGAGCATTTCGGGGCAAATTTAGAAGGGTTTGTATGGAGTTTTCTAAGCGTAACTGGGCTACGATCTCAGAGACAATTTGCCCCGAAATGCTTATTTTTGGCAAGTAGGCCTCTTGGACATTGTTCTTTCAGAATATCCTGACAAATCCCATAATTTCAGAAATTTTTTTATTTTTATGACGTCATCACTTCAGTACTCTATAAGCTTTTATATTTACAAGCCGCACGTACATGCGTCTGTGAAGCGATAAATAGTACTACAAAATTAATAAATAAGCTATTGAACTGAGCAGTGTTAGTGCCATCATAGGGGCTGGGGTAGATGAGACGATAATGAACCCCCTCTCTAGTCTCCCCCTCCGGTGGCCCCATCGTCGTCCTCGGGACGCGGTGAGACGGATTTTCGGCGCTCCCTTTTACGCGAGGCCATTCGTTCTTTCAGCTTTTTCTCGCGACTCTTCTCGTCCAACACGTGGGAGGAACGTTCCACTTGGGCTGAATCCTCGTCCGATGCCTCAGCTGAACTGGTGCTCAGTGATTGGCCAGGAGGAGCCAGCTATGTCAATCAAAATAATTAGTCAAATTAGTGATAACAGTCAATAGCAATGACAATCAAAATCAGCCTCATTCACACTGAGACATAATCACAATCACAATCATTATTATAAGGTCCTTTTCCGCGAGAGATGATGGAGCAAATCCTACGTTCTGATTGGCTACCCAAGCGGCGCTCGGGATTTCCCCCGTTGGTCCCGCATGAAAAAGTTCTCTTTTAGGCTATATAATAAATCCCCTATTGACCAAGCTTGTTCAGTCAATAAGAGAAAAAAGAAACAAAGAAAACAAAGAAAACAAAAAAGAAAACGTAGCCAATATCCAGCCATCTTGACCTCGCGCTTGGTCAAACACGCTTAGGCTCATTTAAGTTTGACTGTGTCAGTTGATATATCTATGCAAATTAATAACAACTACTGATCATAATTAAGAATCCAGGTGGATAACAAGCTTAGAGATTTGCATAGTTCTACATATCATACGGAAGCCGAATTCAATAACCAGTTTTTTTGTCATTTACAACATTTCTAGGCTCAAAACATCCTTACCTCCACGTAGACTTCCTTCAAAATATTTGCCTGTTCCTCAGCCATAATCATTATCATTAACCAAGAGAGGATAAAGGGGACAGAGAAGGCATCCTCCATACACACCCTATTCCATAGGTAATTCGTCTCGAGTTATTTTTAAGACCACAGATCCCAAGGGGAATTAGAAAACAGCCAATCACATAGCGCGAATGTGTTCCGCGTGGATGACCCACGCTCAGAGCCACGCGTCCTTCACGAATTGAGGCAGAAAAAAATGGCGGGAGACGCGGAGAGCAATAGTGCTATTCGTTTTGTCGACGAAAACGACTAAAGAGAGATTTCTGCTAAAGCTGTGTCAGCGAAACGGAAATTAAAAAAGAATCGCCCCTCCTCTCTTGTATAGAGCTAACAGTACAGCAGGGAAATCCTTAACACAGTGAATATTCTCTCAGGATCATTTATAATTTACAGTTTGAAGAGAGCAATTTCTGGTTTGATATTTATTCTTTTATTAGTCTTTTATTATTCAACAAAAATAACACTTGACGTCCTACAATAATAATAATAATAATAATAATAATAATAATAATAATAATAATAATTTAATAACTTCTAGAGCGCTAATTACATTCACTGATCAACAGCGCTTAACAACTTAAAAAAACTACAATAAAATTCAAATTGAATATTACTTGCTACTTGCTTTATTGCACAAACGACAGGTTTCAATAGACCGACGAAACTTCTCATTTTAAAGTACTGAGGTTACAATAACTTCGAGTTAAACTGATTTCACGGGTTGTCAAAGAGTTGAGCGATTCCCTTTTCCCAGGTAAGCGCCGACTCATTTCGCTTCAATATTCAGAATTGCTCTCGATCTCTTTACGCTTTCATTGCCTCTCGCCCGACATATTTTGCGTGGCGTTTAGTCATGCGAAACCTCCACGAAACATCCACGCAAAGCGCGAAGTAACTTTATCCCGATTCTAAAAATAACTCGAGACGAATTACCTATGGAATAGAGTGTATATGGCGGATGCATTCTCTGTCCCCTTTATCCTCTCTTGCATTAACGTAATCATAAGCCTAGCCTGACAACAACAAACGACGTAGAGTTGCCGCTATTTTGAACTCAAGCGTGGAAAGCGATACGATTTCGCATAAAGCCACGTGACTTACCGCCACAGTTGATACGCGACGTGTCTCACTCTTGAATCTCTCTTCCATTTTTGCAGCTATTCGTTTCATTTTCTCCTCTTCACTCAATCCCTCCTTTTCTTCTTCCGTCAACAGACTTTCGAAACCTTGTGCTTTTTCGTCCTTTGGTTCACGCATAGTCATCGTGCGCTCGTAGCGCACTCGTGCGATACGTTCCCGAACCATCGTGATTTGACGCTCGCGTTCTTCCTGCAAGGGAAAAATACAGTCATACCTTATATTGCATCGACAATGACGTCATACTAACGACCGTGAGAGCCTGGACGGATGTCTTGGCTTGATATCTACCACAGGGGTCTAAGCTCTCCTCAAGTAACTCCCAAATGATGAAAAACCATTT